AGCAGTACAGTCGGTCTGTGTATCAGATGATCACTGCAAACATTTACGTCTGTTTTTACCATCCACGCATCGATCCAGAAGCAAGAGCACAAAACAGAAAGCCTGCGACCTCCCCCTCCTTTTTTTTAATCATTACAAATTTACTCAGACCCCGAGCAGTAAATTCAGCATTTATTTTTTTTTAAATTTTTTTTTTCAACGTTTATTTATTTTTGGGACAGAGAGAGACAGAGCATGAACAGGGGAGGGGCAGAGAGAGAGAGAGGGAGACACAGAATCGGAAACAGGCTCCAGGCTCTGAGCCATCAGCCCAGAGCCCGACGCGGGGCTCGAACTCACGGACCGCGAGATCGTGACCTGGCTGAAGTCGGACGCTTAACCGACTGCGCCACCCAGGCGCCCCAATCAGCATTTATAGTGTTGGCGTTAGGGCTGCCAAGCAAGATCATGGGCTAGAATGCAGGAGAAGCTAGGGGAGTGGTACGCCAAGGCAAGAGCTTTTACAAACGCAGCTTGCAACTCTGAGTTCACACCCACACTGGAAAGACCCTGATCTGTAATACCCATTTCCAAAGTCTGAGTGTACATCAGGTGGCCTAAAACTTTTAACCGTCAAGATTTTAAGCTTGAAGCATGCCCCTACCTTTATTTTCATGCGACGTCATTCATGTAAACTCCACAAACTCACAGCTGTAAGTATTTCTTCCCAGTATTTACAAGTACTTCCAACAGTTCCTGAAACACTTCATTCACAATTTATTCAGTGTGTTTGTATGAATTAATGACGAGCTCCTCACTGCAACTGTTACTGTCCATAGAGAAAATATACATCACACCCCATGCATTTCCTGTTATCTGATTTGCCACAGTTTGCTTTCCTGAAAGGTCCCTATTTCCTTATAAACCACACCTTTGCCATGTTGACAATCTCTCTTTTCTCACAAACATACAAGACCAGGAGTGTTAACACTTGTTTGTGTCATGCCTCTACATCCAGGGCCTAGGATGTCCTGGTTAGCTTTAAACCCAACTGTATACATTTTGAGACTAAAATGCTGGGTCTATGAGGGCTGCTCAGAAAATAGCATGAAGGTGCGACTGGGTGGCTCAGTCGGTTAAGCATCCGATTCTTGGTTTCGACTTGGGTCATGATCTCAAGATTTGTGGGTTTGAGCCCTGCATCAGGCTCCACACTGACAGCACAGGGCCTGCTTAGGAGTCTCCCTCCCTCCCTCTCTCTCTCTCTCTCTCTCTCTCTCTGTCTGTCTCTCCCCGACTTGCATGCACACACTTGCTCTCAAAATAATAAAAACTTAAAAAAAAAATAATAAAATCATACCAGAAAGAAAAGTCCTTGAATTTGTACAAACCTAGTAACCCTGACAGAATAAGTGTTGCCTAAGTTGGTAATTAGTTGATTTCACAGTCCATAATCGCAATGGGATGTTTTAATATATCCCCAGAGTGAAAAGTAAAAAAGAACATTTCTTAGTATCCATGTTGGGGATGACATGGAAATGCTGACAGCCTGAGAATGAAAGTCAAGTGCTCGCTGTCTGTTTTGAGGGTACTCTTGATTAAAAGGGGCAGGAATCACTACAATAGTCTAGAAGTCAGTGTCCAGTCTGCTTTTTGTATGTCTCATGCATATTTGACAGTTAATGAATTTGAACCGAGAAGTCTGTGGGGCAGACATTTAGGGAAATATTCCCAGACTTACCCACAAATTGTGTAATGAAATCCGGTATAACCATCTCCAGCTCCATCTATACATTTCATTATGTCACAGGTCTCTATTCTTAATTCAAAACTTACTGTCCAGGTCACGCGGAGAAGTGAGGAAAAGAGAAAACTGCAGGAGATAAAGGTTGCTCTTTGTAGAGTTTTGCACACTTACCAAATTTTGCATCAAACAAGACTATTTTAGTAAGAAAAATACAGAAGTGATATCCACTATGTGCCATACTAGGACAGTAAGAAAATTGCTAAAGTTCTGTTGTTCTAATGATACAGAAAAACTATGGTTTTGTTCATCTCAGCCTGTCAGTAGCCATGCTATTGGCTAGGAATGCCTGGGGGCACTCCCCTGAGCCATACTACTTGCGGTGAGCCCCCACAGACATATCCCATCCAGAGCTAGGGTTGTGACTGGACTGTTCCTTGTGGTTCTTCATATGACTGTAAGATGCACCTCACCAATGGCCATCATGGAACTTACAAGAACTAGGTTTAATACAAGTCCTGGAGAGTACATAGCACACTTGGGCCACATAGCAAGGTTGTGAGTACAGAGAGCATGCACACCGGGTGTTCTACATATGTTGGGGTCAAGGGTGGAGGGTGGTTCCCTACCTATTGGTTCTATTGGTAGCTGTATTATACAACCAGCAAGGTTTATTCCAGATGGAGCTTTGAAGTGGATGTACTGTCAGGCACTTACCTACAATACAGAAGAGTTAAGTTTTCTGTAACATTTTAAAAAAAAAAGCACCTTTCTGTAACATTAAAAGCGCACTTGAAATTACTATGGTTCAAATAAACTACAAAGAAAGAAAAACGGGAAAATCGGGGGAACACTATTCAAACATATGCACTCTAGCTGAAAGACTTGGAGAGTTATTTCTGACATGAACATTTTTTTGTGAAAGAACTGGAAATTCACTATTTAGGGGTCCGTTTTTTTAAGTTTATTTATTTTGAGAGAGAGAGAGCAGGGGAGGGGCAGAGACAGAGAGAGGGAAACAGAGAATCCCAAGCAGGCTCCATGCACAGAGCCCAACACAGGGCTTGAACCTACAAACTGTGAGATCATGACCTGAGCTGAAGTTAAGAGTTAGACACTCAATTGACTGAACCACCCAGGCACTCGTAGGGGTCCATTTTTAATTTTAATTTTTTTAATGTGTATTTATTATTTTTGAGAGAGAGAGAGACAGAGCATGAATAGGGGAGGGGCAGAGAGAGAGGGAAACACAGAATCGGAAGCAGGCTCCAGGCTCTGAGCCATCAGCCCAGAGCCCGATGCAGGGCTCGAAGTCACGGACCGCGAGATCATGACCTGAGCTGAAGTTGGACGCTTAATCAACTGAGCCACCCAGGGGCCCCAGGGGTCCATTTTTTAAATGAGGTAATGACAAACACAATATCATATTTATATCTTCTATATTTCTTTCCTGGCATGAATTTCTGGAGTATTATATATAAATCAGTGCAAGGTTTTCCAACATTACTTACAATTATGGAACTCCCCTCTAAAAAGTAGGACTTGGGGGCGCCTGGGTGGCGCAGTCGGTTAAGCGTCCGACTTCAGCCAGGTCACGATCTCGCGGTCCGTCAGTTCGAGCCCCGCGTCGGGCTCTGGGCTGATAGCTCAGAACCTGGAGCCTGTTTCCGATTCTGTGTCTCCCTCTCTCTCTGCCCCTCCCCCATTCATGCTCTGTCTCTCTCTGTCCCAAAAATAAATAAACATTGAAAAAAAATTTTTTTTAAAGTATGACTTAACAAATTTTTCAAATATTCCATGCCTTTCTGGAGCTACTACCCAGTGTGCATCCTCACATAGTTTCGAAAGGATGAGGGCCACTTGAAGGCTTTCCCACACTGTTTACATGTGGGGTGTCTCTCCCGTGTGCATCCTCAAGTGCTTCTGTAAGGACGAGGACCAGCTGAAGGCTTTCCCACATTGTGTACATTCATAAGGCTTCTCTCTGGTGTAGGTCCGCACGTGGCCTTGGAAGGATTTGGAAGAAGTGAAGGCTCGCCCACAATTTTTACGTTTATACAGTTTCTCTTCAGTGTGAATTCTCACATGTTCTCAAAAGGTTGAGGGCCAACTGAAGGCTTTCCCGCACTGTTTGCACTCGTAAGGTTTCTCTCCAGTGTGGGTTCTCACATGCCCCTGGAAGGACTTGGGGGAACTGAACAATTTCTCACAGTGCCCACAGTTAAACAGCTTCTCCCCAGTTTGCACTCCCACATGTATATGGACGGTCTAGGGCCGAAAGCTTTCCCACACTCCTTACACTCATAGGGCTTCTCTCTAGTGTGAGTCTTTTAGTGTCTTTGAAAAGACTGGGAATAACTGAAGGGTTTTCCACACTGTTTACACTTACAGGGCTTCTTCCCAGTGTGTGTTATCACATGTCTTCAGAAGGTTGAAGGATAACTGAAGGCTTTCCCACATTCCTTACACTTATATGGCTTCTCCCCAGTATGAGTTCTCATGTGTCTGGTAAGACTGGTGATCTCTGGGACGGCTGTACCGCAATGCTTGCATTTATAGGTTTTCTCCCGTGTGACTCTTTATATGTTGAGAGAGGGAGTAGGGATGCCAGAAACTTTTCCCACATGACTTACATTCACAAGGCTTCTCTCCAGTGTGTGTTATCATGTGTCTTGGAAAGACTGAAGGATAAATACTTTTCCACATTCCTTACATTTATATGGCTTTTCTCCTGTGTGCATTTGCACATGCCCAGTAAAACTTGAGAACTGACTGAAGGCTTGCCTGCACCACTTGCATTCATAGGTTTTCCCCTGAAGTGTGTATCTTCCTATGTTGAGTGAGGGAGTAAGAATGGCAAAAGTCTCTTCCACATAATTTGCATTCATACGGCTTCAGTGTGTGTTATCATGTGTCTTTGAAAGATTGAGGGATAAATGAAGGCTTTCCCACATTCCTTGCACTTATATGGCTTCTCCCCAGTGTGAGTTCTCATGTGTCTAGTGAGACTGGAGAATTCACGGAAGGTTTTCCCACATTGCTTGCATTCATTGTTTTCCTCTGTAGTGTGAATCCTGATATGTTGAGTGAGGGAGCAGAAATAAAGAAAGGTTTAACCACATAATTTACACCCATAGGGTTTCTCTCCAGTGTGAGTTCTCAGGCTTGTGGGACAAATGAAGGCCTGCTTGCATTCCTGACATGGATATGGTTTTTGCCCACAGTGAGATCTGACATGCCTCTTAAGGGAAGAAAGATGTATGAAGCCATTTCCACACTTGGTGCATTCATAGAGTTTTACTCCAGTAGAAATATTCTTGCGGGAATTAAGACGGGGACAGTGGCTGCACGTGTCTCTGTGTTGATTTCCTTCATTGCTTTCACAGAATCTGTCACAGGATTTCTGTTAAAAGTCAGAAGTACATTATCAATGTTATGTTTATTTGTGATTTGTTATTAGCAACTAATAAGTATTATAACTAGATGACTAACTTCATTTTAGTATACAGGAAGTTTTTCTACCCTCTGTGGATTGTCTTAGAGTTCACTAAATGCCCTGGAAGTGACCTCAGCATGTTCACTGTTCATTACTATTTGTTATGTATGGGGTCTTCCTAGAATCATTCCTAACTGAATTATGCTTCAAACATTCAATGTCTCAGTCAAGTTTTTGAAAACTTTCTTAAAATTCTAAATAAATAGATTTGGAGCTGGATTTTTTTTTTTTTTAAAGTTCATGGCCTACTAAAATTCTGTCCTGGGATTGCGACCTTTTTATCTTGTGAACGTAACTCACCTCAGATGTCTTGCATGGTTTCCATGCTGATCTTCAATGCTATGGTCTTCCCAATTTTTTCTAAAACGTAGGCACAAGAATTATTTCTTGTGAATTTCACTATTTTCTGTTCATTAGATATTTTTTTCTCAAATGCATCCTGTGGAACCAACCCACTGGCTTTAAACAGTGTCTTGTAATCAGAAACAAAAAGGTGAATGAACACATTACAGGAAGAAGGCACTTCTGAGCAAAGAAAGACTTTGATGACTTTAGTGCTTTCAAAACTTCATCAATGGTAGGCAAAAGGGGTCAACATAGTACACTAGTAATGACTGTCACAAGGTTTCCAAGAAGAAACCTCTCCGTGAACCAAAACAACACATGAAGCCAATACCCAGACTATTGAAACCAAAAGAGCTTCAGGGCTTCTAAACCAAAACAAAAATAAAACCTCAGTTGTTTTTTTGTTTTTGTTTTTGTTTTTGTTTTTTGGAAAAGACTCAAGTTTTTATTCCAAACTCATTGCTCTTTTTTTCTAAATATGTGTATTTATTTTTCAATATATGAAGTTTATTGTCAAATTGGTTTCCATATAACACCCAGTGCTCATCCCAAAAGGTGCCCTCCTCAATACCCATCACCCACCCCCCCTCCCTCCCACCCCCCATCAACCCTCAGTTTGTTCTCAGTTTTGAAGAGTCTCTTATGCTTTGGCTCTCTCCCACTCTAACCTCATTTTTTTTTCCTTCCCCTCCCCCATGGGTTTCTGTTAAGTTTCTCAGGATCCACATAAGAGTGAAACCATATGGTATCTGTCTTTCTCTGTATGGCTTCTTTCACTTAGCATCACACTCTCCAGTTCCATCCATGTTGCTACAAAGGGCCCTATTTCATTCTTTCTCATTGCCACGTGGTACTCCATTGTGTATATAAACCACAATTTCCTTATCCATTCATCAGTTGATGGACATTTAGGCTCTTTCCACAATTTGGCTATTGTTGGGAGTGCTGCTATAAACATTGGGGTACAAGTGCCCCTATGCATCAGTACTCCTGTATCCCTTGGGTAAATTCCTAGCAGTGGTATTGCTGGGTCATAGGGTAGGTCTATTCTTAATTTTCTGAGGAACCTCCACACTGATAAAACCTCAGTTTAATGAATACATTTCCACTACCATGGAGACATTATTAGACTCTAGGTCTGTGATGGCTGTGACCACATCTGTCTTATTTACCAGTGTATTCCTTTTCCACATTTCAAACCTAGGAAAAGCACAGATGAAAGATATTTGTTGGCCTGAAGCCATCCTTACCCACTGAGACCAGCATCACATCTCTGTAGAGGTTCTTCTGCACAGAATCCAGCAAAGACCACTCCTCCAAGGTGAAGTCCACAGCCACATCCTCAAAGACCACTGAGTCCTGACATATACAAGTGTGTGGAGGAAGAAGGGTAAGTCTGAAAGCACTGGGGAACTAAATCGATTCATAGAAGGTTCAAAACGGAACTTCTGGTCTCACAATACGTGACCTGACTGCTAATAGGCTTTCTTGAACCACTAAGGAATCAACCTTAACTTTACATTTATTATGACCACTCTTGTCTTACTCCTTTCTATCATTAGGCCCCAGACAGATATGCCATGCATATGAAATAAATACTTCTGTTGGAAAGTATGCAGTAAAAGGGTAACAGAGTTCAATTATCCAAACCTATTTCAATAATCCTTTAGGACTCATTAAACTGAGTTCTAAAGCACATTCTTTAGGACTAGCCCTTGACCAGCTCTTGGGAGGAAACATGCAAGCCCTTGAAATACAATGGTAACTCTGTGCATATAGGTGGGGCCTTGGGCCGTGGCAGAGCTCATGCTAACTATGATTTTTTTATTTTTTTAAATTTACATCCAAGTTAGTTAGCATATAATGCAACAGTAATTTCAGGAGTAGATTCCTTACTGCCCTTTACCCATTTAGCCCTTCCCCCACCCTCAACCCCTCCATTAATGCTCTGTTCTCCATATTTAAGAGTCTCTTATGTTTTGTCCCCCTCCCTGTTTTTATATTATTTTTGCTTCCCTTCCCTTATGTTCACCTGCTTTGTATCTTAAATTGCACATGAGTGAAGTCCTATGATTATTTGTCTTTCTCTGACTAATTACGGTTAGCATAATACCCACTAGTTCCATTCACATAGTTGCAAATGGCAAGATTTCATTTTTTTTTAATTGTCGAGTAATACTCCATTGTGTGTATGTATGTATGTATGTGTGTGTGTGTGTGTGTGTGTATGTGTGTGTGTGTGTATATATATATATATATACACACACACACACATACCACATCTTCTTTATCCATTCATCTGTCGATGGACATTTGGGCTCATACTTTGGCTGTTGTTGATAATGCTGCTATAAACATTGGGGTGCATGTGCCCCTTCGAAACAGCACACCTGTATCCCTTGGATAAATACCTAGCAGTGCAATTGCTAGCTCATAGGGTAGTTCTATTTTTAATTTTTTGAGGAACCCCCATAATGTTTTCCAGAGTGGCTGTTTTCCACCAGCAGTGCAAAAGAGATCCTCTTTCTCTGCATCCTTGCCAACATCTGTGTTGCCTGAGTTGTTAATGTTAGCCATTCTGACAGGTGTGAGTTAGGTTCTCATTGTGGTTTATATTTCCCTGTTGATGAGTGATGTTGAGCATTTTTTCATGTGTCGGCCATCTGGATGTCTTCTTTGGAAAAGTGTCTACTCATATCTTTTGCCCATTTCTTCCCTGGATTTTTTTTGGGGTGTTGAGTTTGATAAGTTCTTTATAGATTTTTGATACCCTTTATCTGATATGTCATTTGCAAATAACTTCTCCCATTCTGTCAGTTGCCTTTTAGTTTTGCTGTTTCCTTCGCTGTGCAGAAGCTTTTTATTTTGATGAGGTCCCAGTAGTTCATTTTTGCTTTTGTTTCCCTTGCCTCTGGAGACGTGTTGAGTAAGAAGGTGCTGCAGCCAAGGTCAAAGAGGTTTTTCCCTGCTTTCTCCTCGAGGATTTTGATGGCTTCCTGTCTTCCATTTAGGTCTTTCATCCATTTTGAGTTTCTTTTTGTATAGGGTGTAAGAAAGTGGTCCAGGTTCATCTTTCTGCCTGTCGCTGCCCAGTTTTCCCAGCACCACTTGAAGAGACTTTCCATTGGATATTCTTTCCTGCTTTGTCTTCTCTATTCTTGATCTACGTGTCTGTTCTTGTGCCCATACCATACTGTCTTGATGATTACAGCTTTGTAATACAGCTTGAAGTCCGGGATTGTGATGCCTCCTGCTTTTTTTTTTTTTTTTCCCCAAGATTGCTTTAACTATTTGAGAACTTTTCTGGTTCCATACAAATTTTAGGATTGTTTGTTCTAGCTCTGTGAAGAATGCTGGTGTTATTTTGATAGGGATTGCATTGAATATTTTTCCATTTTTTGGTGTCTTCAATTTCTTTCATAAGCTTTCTATACTTTTCAGTGTATAGATTTTTTACCTCTTTGGTTGGATTTATTCTTAGGTATTTTATGGGTTTTGGTGCAGTTGTAAATGGGATCGATTCCTTGATTTCTCTTGGTGTATAGGAATGCAACAGATTTCTGTGCATTGATTTTATATCCTGCAACGTTGCTGAATTCATGGATCAGTTCTAGCAGTTTTTTGGTGGAATCTTTTCGGTTTTCCATATAGAGTATCATGTCATCTGCAAAGAGTAAAAGTCTGACCTCCTCCTGGCCGATTTCGATGCCTTTTATTTCTTTGTGTTGTCTGATTGCAGAGGCTAAGACTTCCAATGCTATGTTGAATAACAGTGGCAAGAGTGGACATTCCTGTCGTGTTCCTGACCTTAGGGGGAAAGCTCTCAGTTTTTCCCCATTGAGGATGATATTAACATTGGGTTTTTCATATATGGCTTTTATGATATCGAGGTATGATCCTTCTATCCCTACTTTTTGAGGGTTTTTATCAAGAAAGCATGCTGTATTTTGTTAAATGCTTTCTCTGCATCTACTGAGAGGATCGTGTGGTTCTTGTCCTTTCTTTTATTGATGTGATTAATCACACTGATTGTTTTGTGGATATTGAACCAGCCCTGCATCCCAGGTCTAAATCCCAGCTGGTCACGTGTGGAAGATGTAGGAGAAAAACATCAAAGGAAAAGACTTCAAACGGGAAAGGCTGGAGCAGGTGCAAGGCCTTAGGACATGTTTTCACAGCTGAACGTGGCTGCTGCTCTTAAGGAATGCCTTGAGGCATTAGCATTATCCAGGGCCGGATCCTCCTTCACTCCCGACCCTTCCTGGCTTCATAAAGAACAATTATCTAGAAATTCAACCTTGAAAAACAAAACCACTAAGTTGATTAATACACTTGCTGAGCTGACTTTATGCACATAGCCTTTAGCAATTTCCCTAGTAAAAAGGGGCTTCATTCTGGAGTCGGGGCCTCATTCCACTTCGAGTATGAGGACCTTCACTTAACTGCATTTTGCTTGCAGACTCTTCTTTTGCAACTCCAGCCATACTCTCTGCAACATCTGGTGTAGTCGGCAGGATACAGTGCGGCAAACAGTTTTCGAGACTACTTTTGGTTTACAGTCGCGAAGAACCAAAGTGGAGCGGTAGGACAGGTAAATCTCAGCTTTGGGATAGTGAAGTTATGGGAAACTCCCAATCTCATGATTAAGAGGCTTACTCTAAATTATTCTGTACTTTATTAGAGTTCAGGAGTCAAAGTAAAAAGGGGAACTTTTGATGAGCTCTGGTAGTTGGTTAGAAAACACTGCTATTGATTTACCCCTTCTGGAAAAAATCTTTTAAACCTTAAACAATGGAGATTGATTATGAAAATGCTTAGATACACTCATCAAAATGGAGATACCATTTCCTTAAAAGTCTGGTCTTTATGCTCCTTAATTGAGATGGCTTTACAGCCTTTACATCTGACACAGAACAAAATATAGGTTCACCTAAATGCAAACTCATCCGGAAGAAGGAGACGAGTCGGATTTTACATCCAATAGTTTTGAGGATGAGTCTCCTTCTGAGGGAATCAAGGCTGTAGCACCTGAGGAAAATACTTTACTAGGATGGCCTCCGCCACCACCCACAAATGATAATTTGGAGGCTACTGCCCCCCCTTATAATAAAGGACACCCCCCTTCCTTTACCTGAGGATACAAAAATTCCTACTCATATTAAACAAAAAACTGCCTGTCCAGTTACTTTCAATCCTTTTTCTTTTTTTTTTTATTAAAATTTTTTTCAACGTTTTATTTTATTTTTGGGACAGAGAGAGAGAGACAGAGCATGAACGGGGGAGGGGCAGAGAGAGAGGGAGACACAGAATCGGAAACAGGCTCCAGGCTCCGAGCCTGATATCAGCCCAGAGCCCGACGTGGGGCTCGAACTGACGGACCTGGCTGAAGTCGGACGCTTAACCGACTGCGCCACCCAGGCGCCCCTCAATCCTTTTTCTAATAACCAGCCCCGCATATTAGTTCCTCCCAGGGAGCATGAGGGCCCTATCATTACACCTCTGATGCGAGGGTTGATAAAGGCTAAAGAGGAAGGAGATTTAGAATTGATACAACCGGTATCAGAACTATTTCCGGTTACTCTGAATGCTTTCCCGCCAAATGCACAATATCTTAATGGAGGCTATAATGCTGAATATTCTCAGATCCCTGTAAAAATCCTGAAGGACCTTCAAATGGCTTGTGCCCAATACAGCATTAACTCTCCTTACGCAGGGCTTACTTTCAGCATTTGCTGACACCGAACGCTTGATCCCTAAAGATTGGGAAATGTTGGCTAGAACTGTTTTATCCCATGCTGAATATTTATAATTTATGACTTGGTGGGAAGATCAGGCTAAGATTCAAGGGGAAAGAAACCTCCATGATATTCCTATTGACAAAGAACAACTTTTTGGACAAGGAGAATATTCTCAACTAAGAGATCAATGTGGTATGAGTGATCAAGCGACACAACAAGTACAAAACTGTTGCAAGATGGCTTGGCCACATATAGCTACTCCAGGTGAGGTTACCCCCTCATTTACTGAACCTTATGTTGGCTTTTTAGCAAGATTAAGAGATGTTTTGGAAAACAATTCCTCAAGAGGGCCTAAGGGATTTGTTGCTTCCCATTGTGCCTACAATAATGCTAATTTGGAATGCCAACAAGTTCTTCGTCTGTCCGGTAAGAGCAGCTGCTGGGTCCACAGCTGACTATGTGAAAGCATGTGCTGATTTTGGCACCCCACTTTACAATATGAACCTACTTTAAAAGGGATGGGCCCTTTTATTTTTTTTATTTTAAAAAAAAAAAAATTTTAACGTTTATTTATTTTTGAGACCGAGAGAGACAGAGCATGAACTGGGGAGGGGCAGAGAGAGAGGGAGACACAGAATCGGAAGCAGGCTCC